ACTGGTGGCTGAGGTGACCTCACATTTGCTTCACTGAACTGTGCTGTTGGTGCCTTTTTTCAGTGGACTTTATGTTTTGTGCAGTCCATCCAAGGAATCAGTGCTTCAGTTTTTGTGAGTAAGATTTTAGTCTTTTCTTAGTCTGTTACTGTTTGTGGAGTCAGTAAGCATTAGCTGATATCTTAGCACTCCGCCCTTTTGTCCAGATAACTTAAGCTAACATGAGACTGGAAATTATAGAGTCTATATAGGATTCCCTCAGCACCAGGTGGCGACCAAAATAGAGAAAAATCAGAATCACATACAGGATCTAGATTCAGGGTGCTACAAATTACAATAAAACTTAACTAAAGCAGGTTAGCTTGGAATAAGTAAGTCAACATGTTGCTAAATGGGTCAAGGATGCAGTTTTCTACAATTTTACAAAGTGCTGTTCTTCATATTCACAGGTGATCCTCTGGTTCTCATCATGCAGGATCTATGATATTCTGCACGTTCAAAGGAGCCAGTTAAGGTGGGTCGGGCATCTGGGTAGGAGGTTTTCTGGGCCAAATGATCTATCTTGTCTGGCCTGGGATCACCTTGGAATGTTCCAGGGAGGAACTGGAACGTGTGGCTGGGAAGTAGGATGTCTGGAATACCCTGCTTAGGCTGCTGCCACCAAGACCCCACTTTGGATAAGCGGGAGATGATGGATGGATGGTACAACACATGTTCAAAGAACCTCAGTGCAAAATCTAAAATGTGTCTGACGCCAATATCAATATTTTAGAGAAATCTGACATTCTGCATTAGTGAAACACATGAATAATTTCTACACATGGGTACATTTTTTTCATATTTATATCCTGTTCATAGCCTGTACATACTTATAGTTATAGCATATTCATAACATACTTCATACCGTGTACATTATAACATACCATAATAGACCCATTTCTGTAATATACTTACATATCTATATTATTGCTAATATATATTGTAATACATCTATATCACTAAAGCACTTCTGGATGGATGCAAAGTGCATTTCGTTGCCCTGTACCTGTGACATGTGCAATGACAATAAAGTTGAATTCTATTCTATTCTATGTGCAAAAAGCCAGTATCTGTTAGCTGCAGATACTATAGATATTTATGACTTAATTACAGGGGACTGTTGGGAGTATGAGGTTACCCTGAATAATGGAGATTAGAAAGGCGCTCTTCGCTTTAAGACTCAAAATGTAAGTGCATGGGGAACAAGTAGGGTTTCCCAGGAAGAAGGACAGTCTCTTTTTAGTGGACATAAAGAAGACAAAGCTTTTTACAGTATCAACAGACACAAGACGCGCCCTTTTGGCCCCTCGGGGCAAAAGGTGAGAGCTCTGGGAGCAGAGGCCTGGTTCCAGCAGTCTGCCGGCAGACGAGACGTATGTCCTCCTCACCGCATTCCTTCCCATCTTAGATCACTGAACAGCTCTCTCCGGCTTTGTGCCTCGAGTCCCCTCCAACCCAGAGCAATATAACTCTTTATTTTTGCCGGGTTGGCACCTTAAAAAGAAACTAAAATAGCACAGTTGGTACAAGTGTAATAAGCTCAGTTGGCTTCCAGTGCTGCTTCAGATGGTGCTTTTGTGCAGGTGCCTGAGTCTAAAATTCAGATTAGTCTGTTGGGACTGGAGGTTAAATAGTCAAGCAAGGATTTCCTACCTCCATTCAAATGAGATTCCCCCCCAAAAAAGAAAAAAGTGGTTCAGAGAAGTCTACTCTAAAAATTCATGTGGTGAATAAAGGACTAAGCCTGTGTAACCTGGGGCTCTGCCTTTTATATATATGGGATGGCTGAGCCGCTGAGTGAACTGGCTGCAACACAAGCCACTTCTGATTTCATATTCATGACTTCCAAGGGGACAAGAGGGAGGAAAACAAACAAACAACAAGCAGGGAGAGTATAGCTGATGGAGGCTAGGCCCATACACTAACTGTCACATCCAGAAAGTCAAATCCCGTCTTGCACAGACTGAGGATGAGCGAGGTCATCCTCCGCAGCAAACACTGACTCATCTCACACCCACATGCACGCACACCAAGTCGAAACAGGAACATTTGCCAGCTTTCAGATATCCATTGGCTTTATAGTAGAAATGCTAGTTAAATGTGCACAACCTCAGCTACTTTTATAAAGACACATGGGGACACCAGCTAGGAGCCTCTGCACAGCAGCGGGGCTTCAGCTCCCTGAGCAAAGTAAAACACATCATGTTTCTAAAAAGTAATGACAGCATGCACAAATGGAGCCTGGAAGCATCGCTGCCTTTTCAGACAAGCCATGTCCTCTAAACACAAGTCCCTTCTCAGGGCACTGCTAGGGACATACGTGAGTTTGGAGCGCCCTCTAGGGGACAGAGCTCTGATTTGAGAGGACACAGTGTGGCCAAGCACACAGACACACACAGACACACATAAAAGCTTATTCTTTGCAAACAAATTAGGAAACAAGTTACTCAATCATGTCTTGTTTTTCTATAAATGACGCTTTCTCAATTATGCAAATGTGTAATTTCCTGCCATGTAATTAAAAGATTCCTTTGTAATTCTATTCACATTCAGTTCACCTGTTTTTTAAGTAGCGTATTTATTTAACATGTGACTTAAGTCAAAAGGCAGGGTTTTACCAGCTATTTAACAAGCTGCAGACATGGCAGACAGGTGTGCATTCATCTCAGCCCCGAGACGAGACAAGCTGCCCACAGGCCACAGCAAAGGAGATATACAGCTGGGAGGTCACACAGGTTGATCTAGGACCACTGCTCATCATTTTTAGAGGTCACACGCTCACTTGGGGCCTGATTAATAAAGAGCTATGGTAATTTAGAAAAGTGGCCTTGCACTTTTTAAAATTCAGCATTCATCGTTGCAGCCCAGTGTCTCACCTCCACATAAAGGAAGAGTTATGAAGACATTAAATGTCATTTTCACTGGGATGTAACTTTGTGTGAATGGGCCAATATTAATCCTTTCAAAACACGTTCAGCCTGCTTCTTGTTGATTGTGGGAATTTAATTCAGCAGAAATAATGCAAACTGCAGTGTTAACCCTTCTTTCACAACCCAACACCCTCAGAGGAATAAAGGCTGCAGTCTTATTCAATCTTCCTGGTAATTAAAGTTTCAATATTAAGATTCAGACACCTCACTGCACAGTTTGACAGATAAACTTAATCTGCTACATATACACTCACTGGCCACTTCAGTAGTCCTACATTGTTAGTACCAGGTCAGGCCAACTTTCACCTTCATAGGTGCCTTAATTCTTTGTGGCATAGATTCAACAAGGTGCTGAAACTTTCCTCAGAGATTTTGGTTCATATTAGCATGAAACGTTGCACAGTTGCAGCAGATTTACATCCCAAAGATGCTCTATTGGGTTGAGATCTGGTGACGGTGAAGGTCATTCGTCGTCATTTTCAAGAAACCAGTGAGATAATCTGAGCTTGACATGGTCCTGCTGGAAGCAACCATCAGAAGATGTGTACACTGTGGTCACACAGATGGGCGCAGTCAGCAGCAATAACGAGGTGGGCTGTGGCGTTTAAAAGATGCACAGTTGGTACTGTGGAGCCAAAAGTGCACCAAGATAATATCCCTCACACCATTACACCACTATCAGCCTGAGTCATTGCTACAGGGCAGGATGGATCCATGCTTTCATGTTGTTTCTGACACCATCATCTGATTATTGAAGCAGCAGTTGAAACTCATTAGACCAGGCATTTCCAGCTGTCCAGTTTTGGTGAGTCTGTGAGTCTGCTTCACGAGTCCATCTGCTACAAGGTTTGACATGTTGTGCTTTCAAAGACCCTCTTCTGCATACCTCGTTTCTACTGAGTAATTGCTGCCTTCCCATCAGCTCAAAACAGCCTGGCCCTTCTCATCTGACATCAACAAGTCGTTTTCACCCAGAGAACAGCAGCTCACTGGAAATTTCCTTCTTCAGACCATTCTCTGTAAACCCTACAGATGATTTTGCAGGAAACTGCCAGTAGCTCAGCCGTTTCTGAACTACCAATCACCATGTCACATCTAAACTGAAATTACTTTTCCTCCCGATTGTGATGCTGTTTGAAACTTCAGGTCCTCTTGACCTCATCTCCTTCTAATAGCACCAAGCTGCTGATTAAATATTTGAATTAACAAGCAGCCTAATAAAGAGGCCTGTGCGCGTAGATGATCACAGCATCTTCTTTAAACACTCCGATATGCTCATTTGGTTTATTAAACTTTACGGCTAATCCCACAGCTGCACAGAGGAAACCTTGCTTCTGCTTCTCAGAACAGATAAAAAGCTTTTTATTATTCTAACTGGCACAAGTGACTGCAGCGTGGTTTGAACCGGCTTTCCCACGGCATAATCCACGAACTGTGTATGTTTCCGGCTGTTTAGAGGAAGCCTATTTGTCTGGCAGGGCCCTCTGGTGGAAAAAATAAAAAACACTAGGTGTGGGAGTCAAATACACGACGAGCCTTTTTTTGCAGACAGTGATTTAATTTGAGAAAAATCACAAATTCATACACCTGCCATTTCCACTAGAAGTTAAATGCAAGGGTTTCAGAACCGAACAGGCTTCAACGTCTGTTACATGTCAAAGAGCCGCAGAACAGAAACATATTGGTATCGTGTCAAATACAGATATATATATATATATTTATATATATTTATAAAAAAAAAAATCTTTCTTACCTTGTGACACTACTTTTAGACTACAGCCACAGTATTCAATATTCAGCAATCTGCATGATATTTCAAAGAACCTGCTAAATTTTACTAACATCTCAAAAATGTGGCTTCTCTTTGACTAGGTATTAGTTACAGAACATGCCTTCATACCCTTCCCCCCAATCTTGCCTTTTACTTCAAGCCATTTAAACAAAAGTACTGGGACTCTGGTACAGCCTCAATGTGGCATCATGCTTCCCTCTTCAAGCCTACTCAAGCTGGAACCGGTCAAAACACAAAAGTCATTGTCAAAGAAACTTTATTATAGGCAGATAAGTGTGGTCTTGTAGTCTTTTTACTATCTATTCAGTGCTTAACTGCAGGGACTTTTTTTCCATTTTTTTGAATGAGCTATGTAATAAGAAAGTCCAATCTTGCTCTTGCAGACGATACTGTTGATGTGCGAAGTGAGCCTCATGATGATTTTACACAATATTTCTAAGAGAGTAAGGTTTAAGACAGAGGGTCGAAACAATCCATTACGATTAAGTGCTGTAGGTCTGTCCTTCTGGTGGTTGTGGAAGCTTCATATTTTCTTTGGACATCATTAGACGCCTTAACTCTTGAAGAACAATTTTAATGGTATAAGAATTCTGCCATTTTGCTAATATTGGTATGCTACGTGAATCCACCTGCGAGACAAAAGGGGAGAAACAAAAAAACACAAACAAACAGAATCAGTCATTGTGACAAGACTGCTGACAGTGAGTTATTGCACGGCTCGCATCACAAAGCTGCGAAACAATTTCACAACTCCCGAAATGATAGAGAAGATAGCGAAAGCCATACATAACCTTGACAGATCTGTGATGACACTCACCGTCCCGTTGGAATTATTTATCCCATTCATGCTAATTTTTGTTACAAATCTAACGGTCGGCGCTGTCTCTGGGTATCTAGGTCCACATTCCACTTTCAGACTGTATATCCTGTTCTCGTAATTGGTCTGAGGAAGAAAAGAACAGAATGGCTTTGGTTACGGTGTCTAATATGAATAGCGGGCAGTGTGTTCATTCACGAGATTCCCGTGCTTACTCTCGCTGGTCCGATGATCATGCCTGTCCATCGTGTGAGAGTCATGTCTTCGTCATCCTCCAGGCCCCAGCTGACTGTGCCGTCGCCTTCGCCCTTCTGGCCCTCTTCAAGCTCTTCCAACAAGCGAAAATTGCGTGGGACTTTAACTCCTAAAATAACAGAGGAACGAAGAGAATATGAGGATCGATTTAAAGGTGTTTGCATGGCCAAAAAAGACAAAAACTAGCCATTCTTTAATGGGTTGAAGAGATTATGAAACTCTCGGCTGATAACAGGACTTAAAATAATTTGTCTATTGGTCGATGGCATTCGTTTTCTTGGGCTATTTTACTTAGACAAACACAAAATCCCCATTGAATCTTTCAGCTCTTCATCGTGCCATCTGTGAACAGCAAAAACACATCAGCCAACGCAATAAAGTTGCGTCAAAAGAAGCAACTATGTGGCAACCAGAGGCCACATGAAGTCAATGACATTCAGCAACGTCAGCCAATGACAGGCAAAATAACTGCTGGCAAAGTGAAATGTTACCCGAGTTACATCAGCAACTTTTTTTTTTTTAATAAACACTGTCTACCAGCGAGGACGAATGATACTACTCACTGATGTATGACAGTGTGTCAAATAACGTGGAGGGTTACCCAGGCAACTACTGCCTAGAACAAGCCCTAGCAACAGCTACAAAACCACTACAGTGAGACGTCAAGGGACACATTTTTATAACTCATCCAGCTGGATATTATTTAAAAAAATAAATAAATAAATAGTCGCACATAAGACAAAATTTAAGGTCATTGCCTAAAAAATGTCCTCAGATTTTGAGTCAAAAAGGCAAGAATTTTGAGATATGCGACTCAAAATTTGGAGTTGGATGTCCCCGTTTGTCCTCGCTTTTTCAGGAATGCATTAACTCAGGAGTGACGTTATTCCCAAGTCAAACATCAGAGTTCCGAGGTATCCTGAACAATAACCTGAGCGATAGCGGCGTGGCTGCTCTAAATGACACATGTCCAGAGCCAATCAGCGTCGCCAGGCCTCATCCACTACTTCAGAGTCATTAAACTAAAACTCTCCACAGCATTGGTGCCTTTTGCAGTAACGCATTATCTGACTAATATTAAGGCTTGCTGCATGCATAACTGGATCGTTTATCACACATATCCTCAGGAGGCAGTGATCTTAGGACTAGAAATCGCTAACAGGAGAGCAAACAGTAGTGAGGCTCAATGAAGTCATTGTTTTCTATAAGTTTAGCTTTCACGAGATTTGTTACTAAAGAAAAAACTAAAATATTCATAAAGTATAAACAGATGTGTCCATAACAGCTGGTTTAGAGCTGTAATGATCACCTGGTTTTATGGGAAAGCTGCATTTTGTTATGTAACATTTGTCACCTACTGAAAATCCTACCAGTCTGAATTTGCCTTTTGCTGCTTGGATGCAAATCACTTTTGTTGACAAAACAGTTTTAAAATGCCGATCTGAAAACGATTTTCACTGTATGACAATCTACAGGTCAAAAGATCAATTGCCTGACTGAATATATGGCAAATTAATTGGTACAGCGCACGAAGCTGAAACAATTAGCTGACCGGCAGGAAAATATTCAGCAGCCACCACTCTGATAATCTGCGGTCTGCTTTTTTCCGTTGCTAGTGTTTCATGAAAATTTGACTTCACACTTCGGATCAAAACATGCAATCCATGTACAAGAGTGAAGCAGTTAAATGTGCGTAAAACAGGACAAGCTGATACAAAAAAATAGCTCAGCAGACCGCGGCTCACAGTATGTTACGTTCACCTTCTGTGCCTCGAATTTGATACCTTGATCAGAAGTCACTCGCTGAAGACATGCGATGCCGCGTTAACACTGAAGCTTGAAATATATCGGCGCTTTGACAGCTGTTTGGAAATGGTCACGAGAGCTGAAGCACATGGGCCTATACTGCTGATTTTTAACACCTGATTCAGAGTAAAATCCATCTTATGACCAGCGTCTTAATATCTGGGCCGATGAGAACATCGCTCAAAACTCTTCAACCCAATGTTTGGCTGCTCGGAGAGGAGGGTATTCGTAGGGGGGCTGATAAGTTGGCATAAAACACATAGCCTGACAGGCACTCAGCAGACTGTAAATGATGAACTTCTTAGAGGAGCGGTGGCTGCGCATACGTGAAACTACTGGTATTCATAAGTATGATCCTAAAGACAAACCAGCAGAAAGGGAAGTGAAGGGAGTTATTTTCTTCAAAAAAGAAAAAAAAGACCACATGCCTGGAGCGGAAGGCGAAGAAATGTAATCTTTCATTTCACCTCATGGTCAGACTTCAGAGATAAGTTTTAAAGAAAAAAAAAAATATCAGCCCTTCATCTGAGACTGCAATGGCTGACTCTTAAAATGTCTCTGCTCCCTAGAAACTGTTGAAAGATTTCAGTCATTGCAGAGACACCGATGTCAACAGCACTGTCTGTAATAGGGCTGTGCGATATGACCAAAATCTCATATCCTGATATAAGACATCTATCATCCCGATAACAATATAAATCACACAAATCTAACATTTTCTGTAAATTCTGTGAATCTCAGGCAGCTCGACTTGCGTGAAGTGTTTCCAGCTGGGCGTCGCGTACCTGGAGTCGAATGTTTTAACCGATGCACGATACTATACATTTTTAGACATAAGTTGTAATGGCCGCCGTTTTCTTTGTGAGTATTTATTACACGGTGTGCTGCGGGGAAAAGCCTGTTCTAACGTCTGAGTCTAAGGTTTATTTTTTAGCACCCGATGGCTCTTTTTCGCTTCTCATCCATAAATACTCTGCATACTCTTTCACGTGATTCAGTTTATTTTGAAAAGTCTCAACAGGATCTTGAGCTTTATTGTGAAAGGTTTATGTGGAAAATAAGTAAGCCACACGCAGGGATTTTACCGTCGTTGTTGCTAAAGACAACGCATAAAAACAGGCGCTTGTCCATCTGTAGTGTGGTTATATTAAATATAAGAGAAAGAACTTTAAGAAATTAATATAGCCACTACAGTGACCATCAAAACGATGAAAAAATATTGCCGTAAACAGTTTATTTTGCGACACCACGAAACAAACGATAGCATAAAATGAAACGATAGACGTTTTTATATCGTCATCCGATATATATTGTTATATCAAACATCCCTAGTCTGTAATAGCAACATTATAACTGATTGAGAAAATAAATGACAAGTTAATTGACTAATAACGGAGTTGAAGATCGTCAAAAGATGCTCAGAAATTCTAATGTAAGACGAGGAAAAAAGCAAGACTTTACATTACATTTATATTCACTGTGAATGGCTTTTTTTGTGCAATTTGTTTTATTAAACAAAAATTATTTATACCTTTCTGTAAATACTTAGCTAATTACAAAGTTTTGGCTCTGGGAAAGAAATTAAATTCCCAATGGGAAATTTGTTGTTTGCGTTTTCTGGTAATGGTCTGTTTTTCAAATGGAAGATGAGCCACTAAGTGCAAGGTTTTGGTCATAAAACATACTTTGTTTGTTTGCAAAAATTCAGCAATTAAAAATGTAAAATACTGATTTATCAGTCAATATTATCTACATATACACACACCAGGGTAAAGTTTAAGTGAAAGAAAGATTAAGTAATAGAGCACAGGAGCGATCTTGAAATGTCAGCTGTGCTAAAAACAGTCAAGAGGAGCAAAAGAAGAGGCTCTAAACCAGTTACCAGCATTTTTGTCTGTATTGCTAATTAAAGATTATTCATTAACACATAGATACAGACACAAATGCGACTGGTTAATATCAGCAGACTGATTCATCAGCTGGTCTCCACAACAGCACGAGCCGAGTTGGTGACTGTTGGTCTATCATGTCAGGTTGGTGCAAAGGCCACAGAATAAAGGATCGGCTTAGTAATGAGTGTGTTCGCCACATCCATCACTGTCCAAACTGAATGCTAGTTTTGTTGCCCTCACCTGTCTGACAAGTATTATCAGTTGCAGTCACGGTTAAAGGTAGTGCTGCAATTCAAATTAAGAACTCGACTGGAAGACATCTAAACAGCTCCCCACGTCCCCACATGTGTGTCGTTAATGGGGCAACTTAAATCTTTCTCTACTTCGCTCCCTTTTGCCGTTTCGTCTCCGTTATGGTTGCTTAAGATCTGCACAAAAATAAAAGCCGTTTGCTGCGACTTGCTATTATTCATTTGTTTTGTCGTTCAGGGCGTTTATTTTGCAAGTTTGAAAAGCCACGCTTCCTGTTGGAGCGCTGAAGGCAAGCACGGGCCCCGACTACTTGCTGAAACAAAGCGTGCCCACTACAGCGGTTGTAGTTAATCGATCTGGTGCTCGACCATCTTCCCCGCCCTACACCTGCAAATACCCACCTCGTGTAAATACAATACATTTTTTACCTAATGGAAAACGGGTTAAACAAAGGCGTTAAGCGTGCCACAACAATAGCGAGCAGCGTGCTAATGAAAGCAGAGGCGGAACTGCTCCCCACATTAAAACATTTCCGATACCATTATGTGTACTGCCGTGTGTGATGCTTCATGGAGAAGCTATACAAAATTTCTCATAAAGCATGTTTAACTGTTCGGTTATTGTGCTTTTGTTGCTATTTAATCACAAAATACGCGTTTACGACATTCATATGCGATAAGAATATTCCGATCAAGCTAGCTGGACAAAATGGGAGTGAGTGCCGCGCGGTGCTGGAATATTCTAGTCGCTAAGTTAGCTTCACTAGCTAATGTCATCTATGGTTGTTTGCGAAACACATTAACAGAAACCTACAAACCAAATCAAAAATTTATACTGGATTTTTATAACTAACGTTTGTTTCACATGCACGGTGTCCGTATGGGCCACAGCGAAGACCACCTTAAGCTATTTCAGCTAACTCACGGGGCCAGCTAGTCACTCCTTCGCTATATAGCTAGGGTTAGCCAACACACCAGTTCCGTGACATAGATGGCTCCCGTGAGGCTCACTGCTTCATCGACTGCAGTAAATTACAAATCAAAGCGATTTCATAAACCTCTCTCCTAAGTAAAAAGTCTCAGTGTCGTGACTGAAATAACATCGAGGCCTCGACTTGTGCTGCACATTGCGTCGCTGTATATGTTAGTTTGAAGACACACAAACCTGAGGAGGCCGCCATCTTCTTCAGCCGAGTCCAGAAGCACACAGATGTGTGACATCACGGCGGTTAAAAATCGGGCGAGCAGCATCACACCGGCGGAGAGCGGCATTGCACGCTGCTGACAGGCTGTTCGCACCTGTCCACTCTCACTCTCGTTCCATTCTTTCATGTTTCATATCGTCAAACTAATTTCAGTGTTAGACAAAGGTAAACACAGCAAATAAAAAGTAGTTTTTAAATGATGATTCCATTCATTAAGGTTACAAAGTTACTCAAACCTGCCTGGACTTAATCCTGATTACTGGTTGTGGCACCCTTGGCAGTAAGAACTGCAACCAAGCATTTGTAGATACTGGTAATGAGTCTTTGACATTGCTATGGAGGAATTTTGGCCCACTATTCTTTGCAGAATTGTTTTAATTTAGCCATACTGTAACCTTTTCATGTATAAACAGCCTGTTTAACATCATGCCAAATCTGGACTTGGTCACTCCAAAACCTTCATTCAGATCTTCATCCTGCTGCATAATCCAAGTACACTTGAGCTCCGGGAGACAAACAGATGACTGAACAGTCTCCTCCAGGCTTTTTTAGTAGCGTTGTTTCTGAAGTACCATAGTAGCCCCAGACCATCACACTACCACCACCATGTTTGACTGTTAGTGTGATGTTATTTTCTTTGTTAGTTTGTAACAAAGAAAATGTAACAAAAGCTTCCCAGAAGTTCAGCTTTTGTCTCATCAGTCCGCATAACATTTCCTCAAAGGTCTTGGGAATAGTCACCATGTTTTTTTGGCAAATGTGAGACGAGCCTTTGTGTTCTGTCAGTTATTTGATTGTATCGTCAGAAGACGGCTGCATTTATTTGTTAACTTGCTTCGTGTGGTTCAGATTCTGTGCTCTTACAGTAGGCCTTTAACTTGCTTGGTACCATCCTTGGCCAACTGGGGCTGAGGGGCATTAACGAGTGGAAGTGTTTTTACATTCAGCATATAAAAGAGGGGCACAGCTGGAGTTTGCAAACCAAAGCAGTGGCAGGACTTGATTTAGAGTCATGAGTTAACCTAACTGGTCACAGTCCAAACTCCATGTGTTTGGACTGTGAGAGGAAGCCATGCAGGGATGGGGATCATGGAAACTCCACACAAAGCGGCCCCAGCCAGCCAATGCATTCAAACCCAGGACCCCTTTGTTGTGAGGCAGCAGTGCTAACCACTGCGTCACCATGCTGAAATTAAAGTTAAGACTAAGTCAGTGCAGCTTCTTTTTGATTAGGATTAGAGCCTTAACAACTTCACTAACAGATTTAATATAAATATGTGCAGGCTGTATTAGTTTTCTATCATACCCCCATACTTTGGACATTATGACCGACAAAAACTATCATCTTTTTCTGGTAAATTTCAGCCTGGTTTCAGCTGACAGCTCGGCAGGTTAGGATTTTGCACACGTGACACATCACCGTTCATAATTAAGCGAGCATCTCCCAAATTGTCGGGCTTTTGACCTTCTTAGACAAAACCTCGTCTGCTGATTTGTAGAGTTCAGTTACATTTAAAACAGGATGAGAAGGGTCGGATATTTCACAAAACAAAAGATTTATTTTATTTTTGAAACTTTAAACACACTTTTGTGGATAATACAGGTGTCCATTCCAGGTCCAGAATTTATGCAGGTTGCACTGTTAGAAGGAAAGAAACAGTTAAGCTATCAAGAGCAGAGATCTGAGAGATTCGAGACACATCTGGCTTAACTGCATCTTTTCAGTGGTCAGGTTATTGGATAATTTAAGCTTACAGATCTGGATTAAAGGTTTTTCTCCCTCCAATATCTTATCCATTTATTTGGCTAATGTCAGACCTGATAAAATTGGACTACAATAAAAATACAATAGCAAAAAACATACTTTTTACATTTATAATCAGGCCAGAGATTAACTGCTAGAGGATGTGCAGCAGATTTGGGAAGCAGATGAAGTGTGGTCACAGATAAGACAAAATGGTGGATGTAGCTGGTCAAGTCACCCACTCTCATCGCTGACTCGGATTGCTGCCATGTAGCTGTAGTTGCTATAGCAACACATCATTCTGGCTCCAGCTGCAGGTGTACAAACTCCGGGGTCTCCGCCATAATCTGAGATAAAGCCACAAAAAAGAGCCGCTTGGCACGTCCGTTTAAGCATGATTTTATACGACAGCAGGCTCTCGCGCTCATGTTTTACCACTTCAAACCCCCCCCCTGCTGAGTAGGTCAAACTAACTTTTTTTAAATTCATGGCTCCGATTGCTTCACAGATATTGAGCTAAGCCAGTGTGAGTGAAGGACTGCACCAAAGTGCCAGGGAGCACAAAAGCAACAGTACACTGAACACTGGGACAGAGAGTCTGACTACATTTATTCTAGTTTGGGTCAAGATAAATGAAAAATGGTTGGTTGGTTCTAGTTTTGATGATATGGCACAATGCTACCAAGACCAAAAGTTCTTAATTGAAAGCAGAAATGACTATCATACATTTTGACCTTTGGGGAAAAAATGACCTAAAATAGCCACTCTTTCTGAACTAGCCATCTAGTTTTGATTAAATTGGACTCTCCTGAATAATCAAAGTATGAAAGTCAAATTAAAATGAAATTATGATTTTGACCCTTTGACCTCAATTCTGACCTTGGACCTTGACCTTCTGGGAAATGTCTGGGAAACTCAGAAATGCTTGGAGAGTATATTTTTGAAGTCGTTTTAAACCATACTCAATTATTCATGCACCAGTGAAATGCTTTCAACATTTGCATTTCCTCTGCTCGAGCCCTACATTGTTAAATGATAAAACGGGTTTGGTAGTGGAGACACATGACGAGACCAGCATGTCTACATGTCATTATTTAATGGTTCACAATAAGTCTCTGTATACTTTTATCACTTGTTACATAATGGAGGAAAACTGCATTACTGTGTAGAGTGGCCACACACTGATCATCAGAACAAGGAAAAGAGATGCCTCAAGTGACTTGTAATGTGGTGTGGTTGTTAATACCGTTTCAAAAACTGCTGGTTACGAGGATTTTCCCACACAGCCATCTGTAGAGTGTACAGAGAACGGTCCAGAAGAGAAAACATGCAGTTCTCTGGGTAAAAATACCTTGTTGATACCAGAGGAGACAGCTTTGAACTAATAGGAAGGCAACAATAACTTACATGATCACTCCTTACAACTGAGGTATGCAGAAGAGCATCTCCAGACCCATGGGCTATAGCAGAAGACCACATCAGGTACAATAAGAAAGAAATTAAATTGGAAAAACATGTAATAAGTCAGTTTCTGACATGTGACTTGGATGATGGGGTCAGTATCAGTGTAAACACGAAAGCTTGGATCCACCCTGCCTTGTTTCAATCATTAATCACTGGCTCACCTGCACATCAGAAGCATATTTGGCCAGGATACTGGAAACTGGAACAAATCTCAGTCCATTTACTACCAAGATTTACCCAGTAAAGTCAGCAGTAGGCTCTTCCGCATAGATGATACAGCTAGCAAACAACTTAACATAGAGAAACTGGTGAAATATGCAGGTCAGAAGTAAGAAACCTTTAGTGAACATCATTTTATTTATTCTCTATAAACAAATAGTCAACATGAGCTACTCAATCCAAAAGAAAAAACACAAAATAAGTTCAAGCTTGCTTTAACAGTTTCTTGAAGACAAAGTCTGCGATTATAATGTACAAGTTATCCAAAGAGCTTTTTAATCACAGCACAAAACAAGTTAACAAAGAAAATAAGTACTTTCAAATATGAGCTCTTTAAGTCAACACTGGATGCAGTTTTTACACATTCCTATAAAAACTGCAACAGGAAACCAGCGTTTAATGAGTCATTGGGTCCTTCTGAATCACCAATCTGGGGTGCTATAAACATCTAATACACCCAGATATTCAGCACATGCTGGTTCGGTTAAACAAATACGTTTTTTTACAGCACGAGTAAAGAAGTCGACATGGGATAGGATTTAAAATTAAGGACTGTACATAATTGCAGGGTGTGCCTCAAGCAAGGAGACGAACAGTCTTTCCAGTGACTGTCAAGTAATCCTCGTCAGCCAGAGCTCGCAACGCCTCGTCGAACAGCTCCTTAGTAATCGCCTGCAAACGGGGCAAGACAGGAGGAAGCCATTAGAGAGGAAGTGATGCAAAAGTGCAGCAAATACTCAGAGAGTGCAAACGTATCGACGGCTACTCTGGCTGAATTTTGTGATATTTCAGAGGATACGGAGAAATGTTAGAGCTTAGCTTTTGTTCAGTCTAATGAGGAACGAGTGCCATGCTACAGCCATAGCGATCGCCATCTGAAGAGCTGAAATCAAACTGATATTTGAGCTTTGACTTCATGCTGGCTTAATAAAAATAAAGATTTAAAAGACTCACAGTTTCAGACTGTCCTCTGAGGTCATCGAGCAGCTGCTGGTATTTCATGGCTGGCGTCTTCCCTTTGGCCTGGATCAGCTTCTTCAGGGCCTGGGCTACCTCCTCCTTGCGCTTGCGTGCTGTGGCGCTCATGCCTGTAATCAAGCAAAGAACAATGCATTGAAATGCAACTGCAGGACTGAACCTAGAGGTTATTTGCATAATTAATCTGGGGTTAAAAAGTTGTCCTATAAAGAGGCCGGAAAAGCCCAAGTGGCACCTTCACAATGGAGAAAATGGAACTAGTATTTCAAAGCAAGGCCATTGTAAAATGAGCCTGACCCTCATAAAGTGCATCTTTAATTTCTCATGTCAGCACCTTTAGAAATACATTCACTGTCTTCCGTACCTGTTGTCAGAATAGAGATGTCTACAAATCCTGTTCTAGGATCTGTGGCCGACTGTTTCAAGGCCTCTCGGTGCAGCCGCTTGGCCTCCTCCACGTCAATGGTCTCCACTTTCTCGGAGAAGCGTACCTTGGCGTGGGCCTCTGCCAAGCGGATCAGGGACTCCAGCTGTCTGGGGTAGGCGGACACCATCCCACGGCCGCTGCCTATCTTTCTCATGTCAACATAGGCCTGCGGATGAACGTAAACAAGGTCAGCTACATAGAACTCTAAGAATCGACTAAAATGTTTGC